AAAAAAAAAAAAAAAAAACATAGTCCCTTTAGACTATGTAACACTACCTCTCAACAGCCTGTCCTCAAAAAAGTAATATGTCTGGCCAGCGAGATAGCTCAGCGGACTAAGCACTTGCTTTGACAAGCGCAGGGACCATGGTTTGAGCCCTGTTCCTCCTCTCCCCCAGAATGTGCTGAGTCAGCCACAGAGTCTGGGCGTGGTAATCCCAGCACTGGGGAGGCTGAAAACAGGAGGATTACTACGAGTCCAAGATGTGTAGTGAGACCCTGTATCAAATACATAAATTTTAAAAAAAGAATAATATGCAGCTCTTAAACTGTGGTTCATCATTGGCTTTCTGTGACACAGTGATATATTAGTATCCCAATAATTTTCTGTAATATGGTCCGTAGTGGAAAGAAATAAGACATTGCCCAAGATTCTGTTCTGTCTTCCTTCTACCTCAGTCTCCAGTTACCTGGTGATCTATGCACTTCTATGATTACACCTCTCACTTGGGTAGTGTTGACTGAGATACCCATCTCTAGCCCCATCTATAGTCCAGGCAGGAATTTGTAAGTGTTGAACAAGTCTATCAAGATATGCTTCCTGCACCTCACAATCATGTATTAAAAATAACCCCTTCCGGCCAGGGATATAGTTCAGTGGCATAAGCACCTGCCTGGCAAGCACAAGGTCCTGAGTTCGATCCCTGGTACCAAAAAATAATAATAATAATAATAATAATAAAAATAACCCCTTCCCCTTGCCCAAATACCTTTCCCTTCTTGAATTTCCTTTCTATGTTACTGGAACTAGTAGGTTCTATTCAGACTAGCTAAAACAGGGAGCTGCCTGTGAGTTCTGTCCTCCACCCTCGATTGCACAGATTCAACCCTGCTCTCTATTCCCACTGATATCATCCTAACTTGGATCCAGTTAGTTTTTACTAGCATTAGTTTTTTAGCTATTCTCTTTTCCCTGAGGACTTTATCCTTGCAATTTATGTCACTTTCTGTTGTATTTTAGTTATCCTAAATTACAGTTCAGATCAGGTCACATCTCAAAAAATAGATCCTTGTCAGGTATTACATAAAATGCACTCTACCCCAAGCTTAATGGTTCCTCCTAAACATGGTCCCAAACCAACATTGCCACCTCATTCCTTGTCTCATTTCTTCCTTCCTTTTCAGCCAATTGAAATGGCACACTCCAAATATAGGTAGCACGTATTTGCCCCCTTGTCACTGCATAA